ATCTCAGCCTATAATAATTCAACTTGTTACAAGAATAAATAGTCTTGATATTACGACAAAGTAAATATATCTTATCATTTATGTTAAATTATAATTTTTTCCTTTTGATAGGTATCCACATTGATCTTTTGTCATTCTTGAGCTTCTTTTAATTGCACCTTCATTGTTGCATGTAGCTCTAAAAAATAATTTTTCAAATCTTTTGTTACTAGATTATCAATTAATAAAAATTCAAAAATATTAAATCATAAATGATAACCATAATTAGTAAAATAACGTATTTGATGAGTAGAAGAATGTATCAAATTATTGTAAGTAAAATTTGTCAATAGCAAAAAAATTGTTTAAATATCTTAATGATAGTTGATGGTATACTTCAAATACTATTCAAAATTTTGATTTATCTATTCTATATATCCATTAGTTTGAAGATAAAAGGCCAAAGATATTTTTATATCCACCTTTAATATCATAAAAAAGATTCTTCAAAATCTTAATATAAGTTATAACTTGATATCCGATATAATATCTTTTGACAATCTATGATAGCAATAGTTATTGTCAAAGAAAAGCTTAGTTGTTTCTTTATCTAAAATAGATTTTATAGATGGTACAAATTATTCTATTTTAGTAAATAAATTTAGAATCATGAATATTGAATCATATAAACTTGAATTTAGAAGATTTGTAATAAAATTCATAGAAATAAAAGATTGATTATTTTGATATAGGCAATGGTTGGAAGAGTCTATAGGATTGATGAGAAGGATTTTTTGATCTTGAACAAATACCACATCATTATATAAAATCTTTCATAGTATTTTACATTTATAGCTACTAAAAATATCTAGATATAAGATTTAAAGTCTTATTATATTTAAAAGGTCCTACCACTAAAAAGTCATGATGTGTTTGAAGAATATATAAACATGCTTATCTTTCTGGAATATAGAAAAGACCTTCAAAATAAAGTAGGTTGTTCTTGAATTTAAACTTAGAAATATTATGAGACTTAAATGAAGTATTCTTGATATCATGAATAAGATGGCAAGAAAAAAAACTTAATTGAACTTGCTTGACAAAGGTTGAATTAGCAATTAATGTTGATTTTTATTACTTAAAGATAAAATTACTTGTACTTCAAGATGTCTATTTTTTATTGATCAAAACTTATATCTCTTTTTTTTGATGCAAGACAAGAATATTTAAAAAGTACATCTGATAAATTTTATTATTTTTTAGGTAAATATGAAATTTTAAAATCAAATCTTGATAAAAACATGTTCCAATGAGTATGGCAACAATTCAACATCCATGTTGACATGAAGTACTTAAGGTTCTTGTGATTTGTATACATAGTGACTTAATTGAAAGTACCTTCTAGATAGTGATATCATTCCTAAAAATAATCCGTAATTGTAAGAAATTTCTTATCATAGATTTCATAGTTGATCTTTGTTACTAAAAATTTCTTAGAATAAAAAGCTATTAAATGGAGTTTGTCATATACTCCTTTTTATGACAATAAAACATTCAAGGTAAAGTTTGATGGATCTACTTTCATAAAACAATGCCTTAAAAAAATCAACATAATAAAATTTTGATAAAAAAGTAAATTCTTTCTTTAAAGTATGAAACAATTCTTTGGCTTCTTTGTTCCACTCAAGTTTGTCTTTATAAGTCAAATATATAAGTAGAGCTGAAACTTAAAAAAAAATCTTGATGAAGATCTGATAATAATTGGCAAAGTTCAAAAAGCATTGCACATCTCTTATTGTCTTTGGAATCTTTCAATCTATGATAGTTTGAACTTTCTTTGGATCTATCACTAGGCTTTTGTTGGAAATGATGTATCCTAAAAAATCATATTGAGTAGTATGGAATATATTTTTTTCTATCTTTGTATATAATCTTGTATTTTTAAAATCTTTTAATACATAGCAAATATGAAATTCATATTTTTTTATATTATTAGAAGACAATTAATATATAAAAGTAATATATAAAAGTAAATATTTAAAGAAATAATAGTAATCTTAAAAAGTGCTAGAATTAAATTTTTTTAAAGAAATAATAAAAAATATTTTAAAATAATAAAAATAAAATTTTTGAATAAATTTTAAATGAATTATAACTTAATCTTTATTTAATTTTAATTACAATTTTAATAAATTTTAATCAAATCTTAGGTCACATTCTAATTAAAATTCTAATTAAAGCCTTAATAAATCTTAATCAAATTCTAGGTCAAATAATAATGAAATCCTAATAAGATCTTAAACTCTAAATTAAACTTAATGAATCTCAATTAAATCTTAATCAAATTTTAATCAAATCTTAGTCAAATCCTAATCAAATTCAAAAAAAATCCTAAATTCTAATCAAATCCTAGATTAATCCTAAATCCAAATCAAATCCTAAATAAATCCTAACTTAATCTTAGATCCTAAACCAATTCTAATCAATCTTTAATCAAATTCCAAATCTTAAATAAACTCGTAATAAATCCTATAGTAGATTAATTATTAAAAAAAAATATCAATATACCCTTATGTCATTCAAAAAGACTAAAAAATCACTCAAATAGTTATATATTAAACTCAAATAGCTATTGCCAAAGATAAGAAGATTAAAAAGTCTTAAAATAAAACTAACAATCAGAAAGGCATTGACAAGAATAAAGAAGGCTTCATTCTTACCTCTATATATACTATCTAATTAGAAGCTACATGGCGACATTTTATAGGACCTCCAACACATGACTAATTTATAAGCCATGTGTCTTAACTTGCAAGGCAAGTTTCTTATATGTATGTCACATTGTTAGCTTGTATCATAAGCTATCAATATGTGCAATATGTGGCTAACTTGTTGGCCAAGTTTCTAACCTACCAATCACCCATAAACATGTATAAAAGTGAATCTATATCTATAAAGCTTCTAAGAAGCTTTTCTATAAGATATTATCAAATTAACTTATTTTTATTTATTCATAATATTTATGTAATTATTGAAGTAAATATGTATGTTCATGATAACTAGACCTTTTTTTAAAGTTGAAATATCATATACATAAAATTTCAACATTTATTATAAAAAATATATTTAGTTTTGTTTTAAGATATTTGAAGTGATTTTTTTTATTAAATTATGATAATTTCATGGCTAATGTAAAAAATTAGATGGTTAATATAATAATTTAATAAATTATATTTTTTGTGTTAAGATTTCTTAGATTTTTCTAAAATAATATGTTTAAAGCATAGCCATTTACATATCAATTTATACAATATTTGAATAGAATTTTAAGTTCTATTCTTTTCTTAAATATAAAATTTTTGAAGGACTATTAGTGGTTTAGAAATTATAGAAAGTTTATTTTTTTTGTATTAGGTCCTTCTATAGGAGTTTTGTAAGTTTATATGAATATTAAATATTTTATGATATAATATTGTGCATCTATGATCTATTTTTAATAAAATGATTGTTAAAAAATTAAGTGAAAAAGCATACAAACCAATTCATTTACTTGCTTTGAATAAGATTTTTGAAAAGTAAGGTGATTTTGTAATAGATTAATAAAATACTAATATATGATGTATATTTAGATTTATAAAAAAGTAGTAATTTTTTTATTTTTTTAAATCGTAAATTATTTAACAAATTAATTTCTTAGAAGTATTTACTTCTAAAATCTGTATTTTTTATTTATTTTTTAATAAATTTTTAGTAACTCCAAAAATTGCTAATAACTACCTTAAGAAGATGTTTGATTTGTATTTAAATGCTTAAGTTTCAAAACTTTTAAGTATGAAAAATAATTATTTTAAAACTACCATGATTTCAAAAATTAAGAAGAACTTTGCATGATACTTTAAATTATTGAAAAACTTATTTGTGTATGACATAAGATAGAAATTTATATCTTTAAATTCAACATTAAAAAAAATACAAATAAATAGTTATTTGAAGAGACAAACAAGAAGTTAAAGATTATCAACCACAAGTGTTGTTAAATGTTTAAAAGATTATTTAAAAGAAGGATTTTTTTTATATTTTATCATTATATTACAAAAAAATTCTAAAAAAGAATCTTGTTGCACAATTTTCAAAGAGTATATTGCAAAAGTTGTGGTGAGTCTTAATTTGTAGTAAAATTGGCTAATAGTTTTATTATAGTTTAAAAAGTCTTATAAATTCCAAACTTAGGATTGTGCGTGTTTTAATTCTATTACATCACATCAAATATATAAAAAAAAATATATTATTATAAAATTTTAATTATAAAATATCGATAATAAGAATATTTTATAATTTAGTTTTATTACAATATACTATAAATTTGTAGAGTTATATAGAAATACTCCAAAAAGGATTTTGTGGTTTTTAGATTTATTTTATAACTACAAAAAATTAAAATATATTTTAAGAAAAAAAAACCTAAAATTGAATTACCACTTTAGTTAGAATAAGATAAAAATATTATTTTGAATAATTTATTGATAAAATAGTGTAATATAAAAATAATCTCTAACTTGTGCAACTTTTTTTCAAAATTTTACAAGAGTTATTTTAAAAAAATATAAAAATTTATTATAAAGAATAAATTACTTAAATTTTTTGCATGTGTAAATTTAAAATATCTTCTATTCAATACCTAATAGTAATTTATAAATTAATTTTAAATTTCATGCATATATATAGAAAGGGAAAAAATAAAATTTAGTTTTACATTCAATTTGAACATGCCACATTCCAAACAATCCTTGATTTTTTGTTAGAATTTTATATTGCTTCTTCTTATTAAAGTACTTATTTTTAGAGGAAAAAAAACAGAAAAATAAGGATAATTACAAAAATAATTAATCAATCAACCACACATTATAAAACACTTCTACATGTGTGCCCAAATTAAACTACACTGCTGCAAGGCAGAAACCATAAAATACATTAGCACATTTAATGAGTAACAGCTTGGATGCGCCATCAAGGACACACAATTGCAAAATTTTCAAGAATCTTCTTGAAAGGAATAATAGTCCACTAATTCCAATTTACATTTCGTGTCATGAATATATTGAAGCAAAAAAGTTGGGCACACATCACCAAAATGATGTGGGTTGAATAACTAACATATGGAACGGTAAAAAGGATAGTTCTCATATGGACACCATGGGTATACTAAGAAATGCTATAGAAGCTATTTCCCATAGATATGCTGTGAAGAAAAGCTCTCACAATCAAAATCATGCTTTCTCCTTTGCTTGTTACCTTGTTGTTTCGTAGAAGAGCAGCCGCATCAATCTCCGTGTCAGTGCTCAGCACAAAATTCCAGTGTGTGCCATGGTTTGCACATTGAAGGATGTGGAGGACAGCTGCTGTTTATGCATCTCCTGCAAATAAAAAACGCATCACCTAGGCCACCGCGAGGTCCATCTGATAGAGTCTTCGGTGAAGAGGACACTCTCCAGAAGGATTAGTCATCGCTGAATGGCAATGGCACCGCTTTGACAGCGCGGTATTTGCCTACGTTGTTAAGATGCTCGTTTTCAATTCTGCAGACATTAACAAGATCACCATTAACTAGCTACTCAACCCTTAGCATTTGGCCACCGGATATATTTCGACACAACCTCAGAGACAAGGATCCTGGATGCATCAGAGCCGACAGAGGCAAGAGATTCACACACCCAAGCGCATTCACTAGCAGCAGGGAGCTGGAAACTCACCGAAAAAAGTTCCATATCCCCCTGCGGAGAATCTCCAAGGTAGCCGTGCTCACATTAAACGCATTCGAGTTCCATCCGAACTTCATGTCGACTTGTAGAATTGAAAGCATCCACGATAGCCTCAAAAAACAGTTCGCTCCCTGAGAGGAAGATCAAATGAAGTGTTACAGCTTTAGAAACTGTGGAGGATTCGAATGATAGAGAGCCGGGAATCAGGAGTGTCAGACTTAAGACAGAATGGAATTGATCACTTTCAACATAGCGTTTTTTTTTCACGAAGTTTTTGAGTTTAGTAACGTACAATGGCGACGAAGTATGTAGATTTGTTCTTCAAGATCAGTTTATCTCGCAGCCATTTGTTCTTTGATTTTTTGTTGAGCAGGCCCCAATCCACATAAAAGTCCCAGTAGCTTGCATAGATGGTGGCAACAACGGAAGCTATAAGGGACAGAACCCACAAGGCAGTTATCTGTGGGTGGTTCCCGAATGCTTGCCTCAGTAGCAAGGCCACAATAGCAGACATATATTTTCCAGCATTCTGTAATTGATGCGAGTCCCTGTCGACATTCCATCTTTTCAAACACTGCATAGCCAGAGTATATACGTCACACGTCAGTAATGAGGCTTAAAACAGAGAAAGAGCTTAGCAACTCCACCAGAGAGAAAGGAAGGGGAGATTTAGCAGGTGGGACTAAAAACCAGAGTGCACTTAGGAGGGACAAGATTTGAGCAGTTTTAAGGAGTTGTGATGTTCGCATAACCGTACCTGAGCAGTTTTAAGGAGTTGTGATGTTCGCATAACCGTACCTGCAGAAAACGCCACCAAAATGGAAGTGATGCCACTATGTATCCGAACCCTCTGTAGATTGGATTTAGGTCACACTTGTTGTCGGATCCAGTCAAAAAATACCCGGTAGGGTAGTAGCAAGATATGAATTGGAAATTGCGGAATACTAGCACTTGACTTGTCAACTGGTCACCAAGGAAGAAATCCGAGAGTAAGACCTGCATCGCCCATCCACATCAAATGTTAGAGAATACATTGACAAAATCAGTATGAGACGATTAGAAATGAACTCGCTCAACATGTGCTGAGAAGTATCAACCCTAGCATAAATCTTTGAGACCGCCATAAGAATGGAATGAATCGACATAATCATGCAGCTAGATCCGTGAACCCAGTACCAAGACATGTCAACTACATTAAGTGTCAAGGGATTCCGTGTCAACCGTGACGAAAGGTGCGGAAACGAGGCGACGAAAGCACCCCAGAAAAAAAACCCTTGCAGATCTGTACATGATGTTGAATGGGAGGAATAAAGTCACCAGTGTTGACTGCACATTGCAAGGGAAAACAACGTCCTTCAGTGTTCACAAATCTTTTAGGTATGCGTAAGCTTAGAACAAGAAGTTTCTAGATAGAAAATTTACATGTCTGATGCTATCGAAAAGTAATCGATAGTTTCAAGCGGATCAAAAAAGCCACAAATGGAGAAAACCTTACCAAGACAAGGATCAATGGGATAATATCTGCCACCGATTCAGTTTTATCTACGGAAGCACCAGGATTCGCCGGAGTCGCCTTAGAGTTTAACAACGTCACTGCAATGTGCAAATTCATTCCTCCCAGCAAAAAAGTCGTGAACCCTGTAGCCAAGAGCAAGACCTCGCGATATCGAAGTTCCGTGCCTGGCGAGAATCCGAATATAAAGGGATAGTTCACTCGAGTCTTAGCCCATGCGAAGACATCAATGGCGTACATGTATATGTGGAAGGTAATTAACATTAGCGTGCTGCAGTGATCAACCACAACACAGTTGTAAGGTTCACCACGAGTATGAAAAATAATCAAAGCCCATCATAGACGGCTGAAAACGCAGAACACAGGTTATCTTAGAACGATTTGCACTAATCATACTGATACAGTAAAAATGATCTTTCGCGCAAGCATAAGAAACAAGGTGTTCGATGGAATTATTCACCTGAACACTGGGAACACAGTTTCCAAGTACTTAGCAGTAGTGCTTCCACCCGGATTCAGCGCACGTTTGTTATCCACTAGGAAGAAGAAAGAAATGCAGAGTGCAATCGAACATCCCGTAAAGAGCCCTGTTTTCAGACGTTACAAAAATCTCATCAACAATCTTCACTTCAAATATCGACTAGAGGATTACTCTCTCCATAATTGAACCAGCTGGAGACATAGCTTCTGTTTACACACACTAGCATCATGTTCGAATTTCGCGATCTGAGCTGAGTGTGGCTTTAAGTACCAAGGTGGAACAAGAATGAAAAAAGGAATAGGAAGGGCGGGAGAAGATGACGGAATCAAGGCCTCAGTACCGATAAAAAAGGTGGTCCGGTGGGTCCCCTGTTTTCGCATTGGTCGCAGTTGGGACATAGCCTTCTTCCTCACACCGTCAGAAAAATGATTGGTGAAGATATCCTCCACTTTGTTTATCAATTTTTGTACCTGCAGAATTTTTCGAGTCAACTTGCGGACTTCGGCGAACTTGGTTGCATGGTCGTACTGTAGTATCAAAATCAGATATGAACACAACAGTTTCCCCTGAAGAGATTCTGATCTGCGTAACATTAAACTAAGTGCTGCTGAGTGTTGCAACTGTTTCTGGAGTCAAGCGAGCCCACCTTTGAAGAAATGACCAAGTAAGAACTTTCTACTTCTTTCATGTAGATTGGCGCAAAGTGCAACCCTGTAGTCTTGTCGTACTTTTTCAAAATCTTGACAAAGGCTTTGATGTTTAAAGATCTGCAAAATTTGCAACGGAACTTGGTTAGGTCATTGCATACCTACCATGGCACTAAGGATTTCAAAACGTGATGGTCGCCGACTGTCTTGGAGACAAGAGGACCTGAATGCTTGTAGCCACATTGCAACCTGAACTAATACCTGTAGTTAGAGAGCAAGCCGAGCCCTCTATAAAACTCCACAAACGCAAGCCGCAATGTATTTTTAGCCTGGTCGAGCTCTTTCTGGGACTTAAATGATTGCACCCTCTGATTTTCTAAGTCATTGTCCAAAATGACGGGCTCAGTCTCAGGCTCTTTTTGCTCAGGGATCTGGGATACTTTCTTCAAGGCCGACTTTGGCGTGGGTGGAAGGGAAGAGCCCATCGGCGTGACTGGGGAATGCCGCACGGTCGCGGGAGAGAGCTGCCCAGGTACTACAAATCCTGTATCCTGGCCATGCAGAACAGGTTTCTGCAACTCCATATTAACATCAGAAAAGGCTGCCCTTCTCTGTTTCAAATTCTTTGTCGCCACTTGTTCAATGTAATCCTGAATGGCGTTGTCACCTTCAGCCTCCTCTTCTGGTATGCTGCTCCCCTTCTCGTCAAAGGTTGAGGGCTTCATAGGGAATGTTTGCAGAGGATACTCATTGGACTTTAAACTGTTCTCTGACATGAGAGGTTCCTTATCGGATGCTTTCTTCACTTCTACAGTGACAAGAAATGCCAATGAAAAAGAGGAAATGATCAATACTGGAATCATCATGTGTGAAAGACATGCGTTTCGCTGGAGAAAGTTCACCACTTTTGAAGTGCAGATGTCACCATTAAGTAAAACTTGCGGTAGGTACCTGGAACTGGATCCTCCTTTTTGGGTAGATAGGATGGTAGCGAAAGACCCTGGCGAGCGAATAGTTCTTGCACATTGATCAATGCAAGCATTTGCTTCTCCAGGGCTCCAGCGCGATCGATGTACTCCGCTTCTTTTTTCTTGTAGAATTTGTTAACTTTGTTAAGCTGATCGTCAAGCCGAGTAAAGAAGGTCACGTCTTGCGGGGAGTGTGAGAGCGGTTCCCTAAGCTCCGTGATGTAAATGTCTCCATCCTGGGTCTGTCTTTTGTTTATCTGTGCACTTGCCAATATCAATATATCAGTAGTGTTTCCTGTAGATAGACTCTACGCGATCCTCAAGACGTTAGACACACATGCTATACTGATAAAGCAAGAGCTATTTGGAACTGTCGAAATATCCAACCCACTACATGCATGTGTAGCACCTGAACATCACCGCAACATCTAAGGTGGTAGTTCTTACGTATGAATTGCTCAAAGAGCCTTAGGAAGTAGTGCGGGATGTCGGGTGATTGAGTTCCAAAGGAGGGGCATCGTAGACAGTCTAAGAACTACCCAAGTGTGTGTGATGAACCATATCTTTTGAAGGACGAGCGAAAGTGAGAATTCAGCGCAGAGACATACCACTATAGAGTCTTCGGTAGTCCCTTTGGGTGAGAACGAGATATGGTCCGCAACCCGCCTGCGACTCAAGGTGCGACCTATCCCGCTGATGCTGGGCTTCATAGACGCCAACGATTTCAGGAGCCCTAACGACCCCGTGCGAGTGTAGGTCGGCCCCATCGCCCGGTGCTTCTGGATGCGTTTCAAGTCCGCCTTCAATTCGCCATAGCTGCAATACGCTTCTTGCCATTCTGGCACTAGTTCAGCTTGCAGCTGCTGTGCAAATTTCACCATCGCAGCCTCCGAGAAAACTCAGCCACAAGGAAGTTCTGAATCTAACCAATCCTATGTGGCACATAAAACTCCGTCAGCTTTATCTTACAGCTCTACCCCTGTGAGCTCCTGACCTGAGATTTCTGCTGATGGAATTGTGGGTAGCGGATGCTAATTCAGATGCCTAACTGAATAACAAAGTGTGACAGGATGCGAAAAAAGCTGTTGCGCATGTTGGAAACTGGTCCTTCAAACTCAGTTTGACACACACAAAATACTGCTCCAGAGTGCTGCTTAGCTGAAGGTCACAAAGAGCTACTTCAAGTCTTAAGACCGCAGCGCAAATACTTGACTGACATCAACAACTTCTGCAAACCTTCGAAACTTGCAGTGAGGATAATCATTGCAAGCACGGAGTAGTAAGGCTATATTCTGTGTAGTTGTGCTGCACAAGATTTGAAAGACTGCCAAGAATATACAGTGTTCAGTGTCCACCGCAAGGGAGGACGAAACTCTAGTAACCTATCGAGGATTCAATGAACGAAATGATTCGCTTCCATCACACACACCAGGTGCCAAGACCTACAAATTTTCCAATACGCTAGCTATAACAACTCTCGTTCTTTACACTTCTTCTAAGCTGCTTGGCCTACTCAAAACCTGGAACTCAGCACCGACGTTCTTGTATCACAAGATAGTCACTAGAGCAATGGTCGAAAGTGGGTTATGGAACAGAAGCGGCGACGCGAAGGAAGGGAAGACTTGGAGTGGGGGTGAGGAAGTGGTCGCACGAGCTACGGCTACCGAGGTATCCAGTTGAGGCAATCTACGATAGTGAAGAAGTGGCAGATACTAATAAAGAATTTTGATGGCGTATCGAACGCCACTGCAGTTGGACTTGTGCAGTGCAGGGCGATGGTTGGAAATCGATGGTGAATTGCGAAAGTATCAATTGGTGACCCATCAGTCAAGCGTGGGGTCCGAGAGGAATCTGACGCTACAGTCTACCCAGGATTTGTTTCTATGAAACTGAAAATGCGTTGAATGATTCAGATGTCGGGATATCCAAAACAAACCACCAGATAAATACATGACGTTCATGATACCTGTTAAACACGTGACTATATCCTTTTTGACTTAGACACACGGCAAAGCAGGTTCCCAACCATCCAGACGGAAGAAGAATCTGGAAGAACTGAATATTCCGTTTAGTGTTTACTCGTTTCTTTCGGAAGAAAGAGACCACCTCCAGATCAGTTGGGATCCTAGATTCAACCAAGACACTGGCTAAACACGGCTATGAGCGTGGACGGATTCCTTACACGCAATGATATGGGTGCGACGCAATGTCAGTCTATGAGTAGCCGATGTGGTCGCTAGCACAAACCCAATTGTCAGAGTCAAGTTGCATCGTTGTTGCGAAACCGTACGGCGCTAGACGGTATCTTAGAGCCTTGCTCTCGTCATACCCCGCGCCTAACCAACCATACCAGCTGGCTGGTTGCAGAGCAATGCCGCGGCGCAGACCTCATAGCGAAGACACAAGGCTCAGTGAAGCTTTCGGTGATGCATTGACAGTTTGTTGGGAGTTGACATTAAACGTTCAACGCGGAAGAAAGAAGATTATGGATAGAATCCGTTGGATGAATATGTAGAGTGGATGGATGTCGACGCGATGCCTCTATCCACTTCGGGTGGCTTTTAATGTCCTCATCCCACTCTGCTATTTGCTTTTATTTGGCCGTTTGCTTCATCCAAAGCAATTTTCCCAAACAGGTACCCTGCCAGCACTCACATTTTACTTCATCCAAAGCTATTTAGCAAAGCAGGTACCCAACTAGCACTGACATTGTACGTTATCCACCCAAAGCAATTTTGTATAACAGATACCCAGTTAGCACTCTGTCCTTTTATTTCATTTGTCAGTCATTCATGTGTGTTTACATAGAGGTTGGGTAATTGACTCAAATTTTGTGAGCAATTTACTGACATGCAATTACCGTCAAATACTTGATGCTGCGTCACACCCCTCAACCAACCCATAGAGCTTGTCAAAAGCTGCCCTTGCACAAACTTGAAACCAATCATTCTTCTTGTAGAAAGATTTAAACCTTTAAAATATTGGTAGGAAGGGTCCAATGTTAAGGAAGCAAGGTTTTTAAAAAAAAGTACATAATTATTTATGAACAATTAGGCATGATTAAAGGTTTATGGTTCGTAAAAAAAAAAAAAAAAATGAAAAAAAAAATCATTTGGATTTTCTATTTGTCAATTGAATATCTATTTTGCTATAGCCCTTAAAAAGAAATCTAATTGTTTCTATGTCAAACTTATATTTCAGTGTACAACAAGTAGCTATTGGCCTAAATCTGTAGTAATTTATACAATATTTATTGGATTTGGGTTATTAACAAGTTAATTTGAAAACAAGCATTACAAGCTGTAAGTATTCATAGGTTGTTCTAAATCTTTTGAAAGGCTCTTTCCTTTTTCTTTTTTTACTTTGAAGTTTCCAGAATTTGGTATTCTTTGAACAAAAAATTGAAAATAATGGAACTTAGTGGTTCTGCAGGGAATTGAAGTGGAATAGTCAGATAATACCACAACATTATGGCTTGAAATGCACTATGTCTTATGTGTGTGTATATATATATATATATATATATACATACACACACATCAATATAGATAAATAAATCAGTACATATTAATATATACATGATTTTGATAATTATAATCATGTATCTATTAATTGGTTTTGAAAAAATAATAAAATTTCAATGATAAAATAATGTTACATTGGCTGATTTTATTCGAGAACTTCAAAAAAACATATATATATATATATATATATATATATATATCACAATAAATCAATCAGAACATCATGCTTTTCAAAAATAATAAAATATTTTATACTTATTCAAAGTTTCAAGATTTAACATCATTGTACAAATAGGAACAAAGCATTTATGAAATCTCTTTAAATGAACAGGCTATAATATGAGAGATATCATTTGAGTTAATTATAATAAAAATAAAAAATGATCAATATTTATTTGTGATCGGAATTAGTAAATATCTTCATGATAACAACATAAATTTACATCATATGTTAAACAGTTGATCACAACTTATTGTAGCATAATTTCTTGGTTTTCGTATAGAATTTCATTATTGAAGGATTCATGTGTTTCAATGTGCATATTTTTAAGATTTGTATTTATTTTGTTATTTTTATAAACACTGTCAAATATTCAGATTATAGTCTTTTTTATAAAAAATTAGGTTAAGTTTTATATTTTGATCTTGATGGAGCTACAGAGTTACATTTCAGAAACAACTGATGCATCAATCATTTCGTCGAATCTTTGGCTTAAAAAAAGAAATGGTACACATATTTTTTATTTGATATAATTTTTTACACAGATAAGCGCTGAAACAATTACAACTTCTCTAATTTTTTTAAAAATTGTGTAAACTATTTCTTCGAGATGTTACCAGCATTGTAAGAATCTCATTACCAATTACATTGACTTATGCTGATTTATTTGCAATGAATAAAATTTGCAATAATTTTTTTGTACTTAGAAAATAAATTAATTAGTATTTTAAAATAATTTTTAACATAAGGTATATTTTTAATTTATTAATAAAATTTAATCATCATCAAGAATATTAAAATATTTATTGGGGTTTTCCATTGGACAATAAAAGATTTAAGGAAAAAAAAAAAAAAAAAAAAAAAACGGAATAATTAGATTGCTGTAAAAAGTATATAATGGAAAGATTGAGATATTATTTTTTTAGCCCTTATATATAATACAACAAAAAAAAATTATTGAGGGTTTTAAAGGAAGTTTTAGAAATTATAAAATATTTTCTAAATTTAAGTATTCTTTTATGGAAAATTTTAAAATTTAATAGAAATTTCAAGAAAATTGCAGAATGTTCTAGGAGGGTCTGAATGATTTGAAAATTCAATATAAAGTATTAAAATTTCATAGAAGATTTTTAAATAGAAGGTATTTAAAGCTATACTTTATTATATCATTCTACAAGAATTTTTATAAACTTATTTCTTTAAATTTATTTGAGATTAAAAATCACTTTAAAAGTTCTTATAATACATGTTTATTTTTAGTTTCTAATTATTAGACAAACATGCCTATTTATTCAATAACTCTTGCAAAAAAAATTTACATGAATAAAAACTTATTATAATTTTTTAAATTTTAGATAGATATGATATTTTCTAAATAAATTTCATTAAAAATTTAAAGATATGTGATAAGATCTATTGAAATAGATGATTAAGGTTGCTATAAAATAAGAAGAGGTTAAAAAAGTTTATAAGGTCAAAGGCATCAAATCTTTACTTTAAAAAAAGTATCATAATATTAAATAAATGCTTTGATTACTTTCTATATTTGAAGTTACCAAAAATCTCTTAAAATAAGTTCTAAAGTTTTTTTTATATATAATCTTTCTTTCTACAAAAAAATCATGGCATGCTTGAATTGTATCTAAATATATATTAAATTCCAAAATATATAAACACCTTTTATAATAAAGAAGGTTTTCAAAAAAAAATAAAAATAAATTAAAATAATTAAAATAATCATATAGGTTATTTCTAATATGAAAAATAAGAAAACTTGTTAATTTACTTTAATAAAATTTATTAAAAAATTAGTACCAACTAAGATCATTGACTTAATAGTTCAAAATATAATTTCTTCAGTTTGAAAATAATATCACAAAAAATATAGATAAAAGATAGAAAGAAATAAAAAAATAATTTTTATGTTTTCTTGTTGAAAAAAACTTACTTTGTAGGGCCATAAATAAGAAAAGACAAGATAGAATAGACAAAATAAAAAACCAATATAAAAATCTATAGATAAAAATTTAAGATAGTTTCTAGCAAAATATTCATAAAAAAAACTTGAATTGATAACTAAGGAAGATTGTTTGTGAACTAATGTTGAAACTAGACTTGAAGATATAAAATTAAATGCCTACAAAAAATGCATGATATTTTAGGTTATTAGAGAATAAGGTTAGAAAATAAACTTTAGAATATTTTACATACATTATTTTTAAAAAATTGAGTTTGTATAGACTTTGTGAAAGCTACACAAATTTAAGGTTTAATTTAGATGACTCTATTCTTAAAAAATAAAGAAGTTTTTATATTTAAAAAAAAATATATATTATCTAAGAAATATATATATATATATATATATATATATATATATATATTTTAACCTTACACATACTTATTTTGAATTTTATATAAAAATTTAAAACTAGTTATTTAGTTATATTCAAAGTTATTGGAATTCAAGTAGAATATGGTTTTAATAATTGGAAGTTGAAGGATAAGTAAGGATTTCAAAGATATGCAATAATCTACTTGTTGGATTGAAATGAAAATTTTGAACTAATAATTGAAATAAACTCTTATATCTACAAAAAAATTAGAAGTAAATTAATAATACAAGAATGAAATCTTGGTACTAAAAATATAATATAAAATTTTAAAAAAGAAGCTCTTTAATAATTTAAAATTTTATTTGAATTTAATTTTAATTTATAAGTGTGATTCTTTATTGATTTTTTAGACTAATTTTTAACTAGGATGTTAAAAGATTTATTAAATTTAAAGTTTAAATTTTGAATACCAATTAAGGACATGAATCTTAGAG